ACAGAAGGCAAGAAATCAGGGAACACCTCTGTTTAGGAGTCATACAAAGGAAAATGAATTTATAAAGATTCATTCATTCATCACATATTGAGTATGAAGATTTGTCATGGCCCAACCACTGCAAGACACCATCTTTCACAAGACAAAAATGGTGCATCCTTGCAGAGATTATCACAAAGTGGGGAAATACAGACAAGATGAACTCAACGAAGTGATATGGGCATTCCTAACCAGGACTAAGGAAGCCAGGAAAGCCTTCCCAAAAGCTGAGAATAGACGTAAACCAGGCCAAAGGAGGCAGTGTGAGGAAACTCAGGAAAGAAGTATCTTGTCCAAAAGATTCTACTATGAAAGATAATATTGTATATTCAAGGAAAGGCCAATGTGAGGACTCAGTGGATTAACTGCTTGCTACACAAACATGAGGACCTGAGTACGAATCCCCCATAAAAAGGTAGGCATGGGGGCACTCACTTGTCATCCCAGCACTGAGGAGGCTGAGAGATGAGGGTCCCTGAAGCTTGCTGGCCAGCCAGTGTAGCTAGAGGTGAGCTCTAGGTTCAATGAGACCCTGTCTCAAAACCAAAGTGAAGAAGCAATTAAGGAAGACTCAATATTCACCTCTGGCCTCCACAGGTATACACACAAAAACAAAGGCCAATGTAGATAAACAGCGTAAGCTGAAAGGAAAGTAAGAAGTTGAGTACAACATGTCCATAAGAGGAGCGTGGTATCATTCACTGAGATGGGGGGCAGAAGAGAGAGCAGCTTTAAGAAAAGAAATCGATAAAACACAGTGAGCTCAGTTTGCACAGTAAAGAGTATAAAGAGCCTAGAAGATACTTTGGCTGTTTAATAGAAGGTAGATATGCAGAGCATTGAATTTAGGAAATACTGCAGGGTATGTTGGCTCATGACAGTAATTCCAGCACATGGAAGGCTAAGACAAGAGAATTGCTAAGAGTTCAAAGTTAGCCAGGCTACATGCCCAGGACCCTGTCTCAAAATAAATAAACAGGGCAGTTATTCAGAAGTACTCACATATGGAATGTAAACGAAAGCATGGAAAATGGATGCAGTCACGGAAGGAGAACAGGACAGAGAAAATAATAATAATCAAATGTATGGGGACTGAAGAGATGGTCAGCAGTTAAGAGGACATACTGCTCTTCCAGAGGACCTGCATTCAATTTCAAATGGCTCACAACCACCTGTTACTCCAGTTCCTATGGAATCCAACACCTTTGGCTTCAGTGGGCGTCTGCACTCACACACTCACACACATACACACACACAAACACGATTAAATTTTTTAAAAAAACAAAATAATCAAGTGCAAGTGATAGGGCAGGAAATGAGTAGTTCCCAGGAAATCATAACAATATTTTTTTGTTTATTTATATTTTATGTGTTTGAGTGTTTTGCCTGCCTGTATGTAGTAACCACAGAGGCAAGAAGGCATCAATCAGATCCCCTGGAACTTGAATTACAGACCATTGTTAGCTGCTATGTAGGTGCTGGGAACCAAGCCTGGATTCTCTGTAAGAACACCAAGTGCTACTAACTGCTGGGCCATCTCTCCAGTCTCATCATCAACAATTTTGAATACCACAGAATTTATTTAAGTCTGGGGTTTCTTTGTTTAACTTTTTTTGTTTTGTCTTGTTTGTTGTAACCCAGGCTGGCCTCCAACTTGAAACAAATCTCCTACTTCAGCCTCCTGGTATTATAGACCTAAGTCAGCACACTCAGCCTAGATAAAACTTTTGAAATATCCATGCAATTTATCAAATGTGAAGTTAAAGACAATCATAGAAAAAGCTGTTTTAATGTGGAAGCATCAGACTGTAATGGGATACAGAGGACCTGAGAAATAGAAATTGGAAACAAGACTGTTTGGCTATAAATGCCAAATGGTAAAGTGTTGGAAGAAAAGGGAAACAAGGGCTAAGGAGACAGCTGAAGATATAAAAGTACTTGCCACACAGCCTGATGACCTGAGTTTTAGCCCCAGAACCTCTGTTAAAAACCCATATATAGTGGTGTACATCTGTAATCCCTGGACTCCTACATGGAGACAGGAGGTAGAGACCAGAGAATGGTCCAGAAGCTGGAGGCCAGCTAGCCTGGAGTGCACAGTGCAGCAGCAGAAACAAGGGACCCTGCCTCAAGAAGGTGGAAGGTGAGAATAGACTCTGAAAGTTGTCCCCTGACCTCCACAGGGGCACTGTAGTACACATGCACCTGCACACGAGAGCACACACACAACACACAGACACACACTATATTTATTTAAAAGGAAATAATAAAAGACTTTAACCTGTTTTCTTGCAAAGAGAACTGACATTGACAAAGAAAGAAACCAGCTGAAAAGGAGTGGGTGAGAAGTGCCAAGGGCACAGCTAATGAAGATGTCAGAGGACACTGGCAAGAAGGAAGGGTACTCACTGCTGCAGCAGCTTTATGAACTTTTCTTCGCAAAGGTCTAGATACATTGCTAATGAACATGTAAACTAGTGGTCACTTGGCACCACCTAACAAAAATGTCAAGCATTTACCATTTAACCTGAAAATTCTCTTTCTCTATCTAGTAATGCATCCTACAAACACACTTGGACTTTATAAATGACATCTATGGTATTTATTTGATCCAGTATTGTTTAAAAGAGAGAAAACTACCAAAAACTCAAATAGTCATCAGTAAGAGCCTACTTAAGTTATAGTACATCTATATACTAAATTGCTATAGGGCGGAAAATAGGAACACTGTACTTATGAAAATCTAGATATGTTAAGCAAAAAGTAAAAGTGCAAAAAATCTGTTATTTTTGTCTGTAAAGGAAAACAAAATGTCATTTTTATTTGCTAAAATATGCATAAAGTAATAAGAATCCAAGAATAGAAGCTACCTATGTTAAGGAGTTCAAATGGGACAGGTAGTAAAAAACACACCTGACCTGACACTTCCTACTTTTTTGTGTTTTCTGACTTGAAAACAATGAGAATGTGTGCTCGTCTCAAAAACAAAAATTAAATTAAAAAAAAAAAAAAAAAAAACTAAAATGTTGACTTGAAAACAAATAAAATGGTGGCCCGTTCCAAAAACAAAAAATAAATAAAAAAAAAAAAAAAAAAAAACTACCAAAAACAAAACACTTCGGTGCTGGAGAGATGTTTCAGCGGTTAAGACCACTGACTTCTCTTGTCAAGGACCCGGGTTCAATTCCCATCACCCACGGTTAACAACTGTCTGTAACTCCAGTTCCAGGGGCTTTAACTGCCATCTTCTGATCTCTGCCGGCAATGCACGACACCAGTGCACCTATCTATATGTAGGCAATACACTCATACATGTAAAATGAAAATAATATTTTTAAAAAAACATTTTTAGGGCCAGCAAGATGGCTCAGACGAGAAAAAGGTGCATGCTGCCAAGCCTGATACCCTTAGTTCAATCCCAGGTCCACACAATGTACAAATAGGTCTCCCTACCTCAAGTTGTTCTCTGACCTCCACACATGCACCAAGGCACAGGCACCCACACACATTCCCATACATACTATATATAAACATTTTTTTTACAGTTCTTAAAGTCTCTTCCACTAAGTGATTTTTAAAATATAATACTAATTAATTTCAATGGGATATGAAATGAATGAGACTGAGAAGTGTAAGCATGTTTAAAAGTTTAAATTTTTCTTCTATTGTATCTATATGATAAGTAGTGTGGAGGGTGGCCTGAGTCGGGAGCTAAAATAAAAGGATGTTTAAATTGGCAGATGTGGAGAAGTAAAAAATGAGCCTAAAAATACAACATGAAAATACAATGACAGAACTAATTCCGAATATGCGAAGTAAAAGGGCATACTGACCCCGTAAGGATACATACCCATCTGAGAACTGTGTCATTTTGGGGAAAAAGATCATTTAAAGGCCATCTTTTAAAGAAATTGACTTAGACTGAAGGCAGTGTTAAGAAATACCAACACCCGCTGGAGAGACGGCTCAGCGGTTGAGATCGAGGTGACTGCTCTTGCACAAAATCCAGCACCCACATGGTGGCTAAGAACCATCCTTAACTCCAGTTCCAAGGGAATCAGAAGCCCACTTCCGACCTCCGCAGCATTGCACAGCACGAGTGCACTCACATACATGCAGGCAATACACTCATACACAGAGAAGAAAAGAAAAAGAAAGAAAAACCAACCCAGAACAACCTTATTTCCAATATTCTTTGTCCCTAGCCTTTAGAATCTATGTAAGTCTGGCACAAGGACGATGCTGAAAAATCAAGTTATTCGGGACTGAGGATATACACCACAGCGGTTGAGTACTTGACTAGCAAGTGCAGAGCCCTAAGGTTCAGTCCCTAGAACCGCAAAAGACAATATCGAGCTATTCAGTAAATGGGCTGGGATTGTGAAGGAAATCTACCGAAGTTAAAGCAACCGAATGTGAGGCATCAGCTCGCTATCTCGGTAGGCAAAGCTGATACCAGATTTAACTAATCCAGACGGTGAGGAGGACGCCCATGCTGACCCGGAGCCTGAACCCGGGTTCCCGGACCCGAACCTGCACTGCCAGCAAACCCAGCTTAGTGCGCGGCCTGCGCATGCGAGGGCGGCTGCGAGAAGCGTGGCGGCTGCAGACCCTCGATCCCCGCCTTCCCCGCCAGCGTGGTGGCCGCGAAGGGTGTCCGCACCAGTCACCTACCCTCATCGGCGTCATACATATTGAAAAAGGTCTTGGGAGTTCCTGACTCGAAACCACAAAGCTCCAAAGACTAACTGCAGCCTCCAGAACCCAGCGAAAGAGCAAGTAATTTCCGTCTTCGGCGTTCCCAGAATCCTCCACGTCTTAGACACCCACCCCCCCATGCCAAAAAAAAAAAAAAAAAAAACCACAATGTGAGGTCTGCGCCTGCGCGAACGGTCAGAGCTGATTGGTGCGGTTTATAGTGCGCAAGCGCACTTGTGCCTGCGGCTGAGGACGGCTCCTTGGCCATAGTGGGTCCAGCCAATATAAGATTTTGCGGGGGGACGGGGTCTCCCTGTAGCCCCAGCTGTCCTGGAACTCACTATGTAGACCAGGCTGGCCTCGAACTCACAGAGATCCACCTGCCTCTGCCTCCCAAGTGCTGGGATTAAAGGTGGGCAATATGAGTTTTGTTGTCTGGTTTTGAGTGTTGTTGCACGAATGACACCCCAGAAACAGGCTGATAAAGAAAGGTTCTGGTTGTGGCCGAATGCGAACACACCCTCGGCTCCCGAGGACGCTTCCCTACCCACCCAGCTCGGTCTAGATGGTTGGCGCCTTTCCCGCTGTATTGTGTAAGTTCTCGAGCCTCAGAAGTTTCATCGCGAGAAGTTTCAAGCGCGTGCGGGTGGCAAACCACAGGGCCCAGGGTCACCAAGGTTGAATGCGCGGCTCGGAGCCCAAGACGCGTGCGCACACTAGGCTCCGCCCTCTATCGTGTGGCTCCGCCCCCCGCGCAGGCTCAGCCGTTGGTCATGCTGCCCGCAGGCCTGATTCGGGGGTTGCTATCCGGGTTCCTGCGTGGTCCGGTGCCTCCTGCTGCGCGCTATGGCTTCCCGGAGCGGCTCTTGGGCAGGCGGTGCCAGACCGCCTTCTCCTCCCAGGGTCCATTCTTTCTGGGCCACCGGCTTTCTGCTGGCCCCACAGCGAATGAGGACTACGAAGGAGGCCCCGACTCCGAGGAGCGCTTTCTGTTCCCGGAGTACATCCAGGATCCCGAGCCCGCGCGGGACCCTGAGGAGCAGCTGCGGGAGGTGCAGCAGCGGCAGCTGGAGGAGGAGCGAGAGAGGCTGCGGCAGCGCGAGGAGCGGCTTCAGCAGAAGTTCCGGACCGGCCTCAAGGCACTCGCGATCCCGGAGCTGCCCGACGTGCAGGTGCCGCCCAGCGGCTTCCACTGCTCGGGCTGCGGGGCCGAGCTGCACTGCCATCACCCCCGCCTGCCCGGCTACCTGCCCAGCGAGAAGTTCCGCGGTGTGGCCCAGGCGGACGGCGGGCGGGCGCGGACCGTGTGCCAGCGCTGCTGGCTACTGGTGCATCATCGGCGTGCCCTGCGCCTGCAGGTGAGCCGCGAGCAGTACCTGCAGCTTGTGAGCTCCGCGCTGCGCCGGCCGGGGCCGGCCCTGGTGCTCTATATGGTGGACCTGCTCGACCTGCCGGACGCCCTGTTGCCCGACCTCCCCGCACTGGTGGGCCACAAGCAGCTCTTCGTGCTGGGGAACAAAGTGGACCTGCTGCCCCAGGACGCGCCCGGCTACCTGCAGCGGCTGCGGAAACGGCTGTGGGATGACTGCGTCCGCGCCGGGTTCCTGATAGCCCCTGGCCACCAGGGACCACAGTACCCCACTGGGGACGAGCCACTGAATGGGGAGGAGAATTCGAATCAGCCGGACAGGTCCCGCACGGTGGTCAGGGATGTGCGACTGATCAGCGCCAAGACTGGCTATGGAGTTGAAGAACTGATCTCTGCTCTTCAGCGCTCCTGGCGCTATCGCGGCGACGTCTACCTGGTGGGCACCACCAACGCCGGCAAGTCAACTCTGTTTAACACACTTCTGGAATCCGATTACTGCACGGCCAAGGGCTCCGAAGCCATTGACAGGGCCACTATCTCACCCTGGCCAGGTGAGGCTTAGGAGGCTCATTGCTGAGAAATTGGCCTTGACCCCAGACACCTAGTGCATCGTCTCTTAAATGTCCACCTTGAGCTGCCTGAAGCCATCCCTTTTAAAATGTCTCCCCACTTTGGTCCCTTCTCTCTTATAACAGCTTCGTGCTTGGAAATTCAATGTACGTTGAATTTTCTAACAAGTGAGTACAGTGGGGCGGGCGGGGGGTAGCTCAGGCGCTAAAATGCACCAAGCCAGAGTCAACCTCTACAGCACTGCATGAACTAGGTGTTGGGGCACATGCCTGTATCTCCAACAGGAGCATGAAATCAAAGACATCTTCACCTACACAGTTGGAGACTACAACTAAATACAGCAAAGAGGAAGCTCTGTGTATGCTCTTTACACTCTGACCCTCCCTTCACCCCTCAGTCTTACACTTCACCTCTTGAAAAGAGATCGGCCTGCCTCTACCTCTCGAATGCTGGGACTAACCACCACTCCCAGCTTTCTTGAATTTATTCTTTTTTTTTTATTTATTTATTTTTTATTTTATGTGTACTCGTGTATTGCCTGCATGTAGGTAAGTGCACCCATGTCGTGCAATGCCCGCGGAGGACAGAAGAGGCTGTTGAATCCCCTGGGAATGTAGTTATGGACAGTTGTTAGCTGCCATGTGGGTGCTGGGATTCTAACCTGGGTCTTCTTCAAGAACAACCAGTGTTCTTAACCGTTGAACCATCTCTCCAGCCCCTTGAATTTATTCTTAAGACCATTATTCTATACATACATAACTATCAAAAAACTCAATGTCAGTTTTGTGAGTTTAAGAAACTGTTAGAAGCAGGCAGATCTCTGTGAGTTCAAGGCCAGCCTGGTCTCCATAGTGAATACAGACCAGCTGTGGCTACAGGGAGACCCTGTCTCAAAAAACAAAAAAGAAACTATTTTTGGAGCATGGTCCCGCACTCCTTTAATCCCAGCACTTGGGAGGCAGAGGCAGGGGAATCTCTGGAGTTCAAGCCCAGTCTGTTCTACATAGTGAGTACAGGCTAACCCCACTGTACAGGGAGACCCTGTCTCAAAAAAACCAAAAAAAAAAAAAAATAGTCTGGGGATGGAGGATTGGAGAGATGGCCATGGCCCAGCGATTAAGAGCACTGGCTGTTCTTGCAGAGGACCCAGGTTCGGTTCCCAGCACCCACATAGTGGCTAACAACTGTGTGTAGCTCTAGTTCCAGAGGCTCCATCACCCTTTTCTGGCCTTTTCAGGCATAGCACACCCAGTGCACTTACATACATTCAGGAAAAACATTCATACACATAAAATAAAAATAAGTAAACTTTTAAAAAGTATTTTTTAAAATTTATGTGTATAAGTATATTGCTAAGTATTAAAATTTATTTTATGTGTATGAGTGTATTACCTACATGTGTGTAAGTGCACTTGTGTTGTGCAGTGTCCAAGGAGGTCAGAAGTGGATGCTAGATTCCCCTACAACTGGAGTTACAGCTGGTGTCTTCTACCAGTGGGTGCTGGGAATCAAACCTAGAGTCTCTGCAAGAGCAGCCAGTACTCTTAACCACTGAGTCATCTCTCCAGCCCCTCCCCCCCTTTAAATGTTTTTTAAAAGAAACTGATAGTTTGGCATGGTGTTGATCTGTCATCCCAGCACTGGGGAGGACGAGCCTGCACTGCACAGCACAACCCTGTCCCAAGGAGGGTTCGGGGAGGGGGTGTAGTAGGAAAGAGAAACAGTTTTAAGAATTAAGTTGACAGAAATAACTCCCATTTGTTCCCTTGAAACCAGAGTTTGACTTTAGTTAGCTATTCTTTGGTACTCCATACACAGAGTGGTCAGCCATCATGGATGTTCTAGATGATAAATGGTCATAAATAAAACAGGCCTGTAGATTTTGTATTCAGATCCTGGGTTAGCCTGTGAACTAAACTCTGAGCCTGTTTCTTCATGTGTGAAGTAGAAATAATGATACAGGGATTGTCTTGAATGAAGGGTAAGTAAAATAAATCCCAGTAGCCAACATGATGGGATCCTCAGAAATGTTTTCCTCCTCTTTGGTATTTTAGGTACTACATTAAACCTTCTGAAGTTTCCTATTTCCAACCCGACGCCTTACAGAATGTTCAAAAGACAAAAAAGGCTTAAAAAAGAAGCAGCTAAAGCTGAAGAAGACCTTAGTGAGCAAGAACAAAGTCAGCTTACTCAACTGAAAAGGCACGGTTACTTAGTAGGTGAGTGTCCTTCCTGTTTGAGAAAATTCTCGTTCACAACCTTGCAAAACAGCCACGTGGGGCTAGCCATTTTCTGTGGAAAGAGACTTCCTTACTCTGGAATATAGAGCCCTTTAGGGAAGGCTACTACTGTTTGGAAACCAGGCAAGCAGAGGTAGCAATGGTCATTGTACAGCAGCTATAAATTAGGTCATCCCTCTCTTTGGTATCTCTTTCCATACTTAATTTACAAAACTGATTCCCAACACCACCTGTTTCAATGAACACACCTTGAAACACTCATGATCTTTTCAAGAGTATCTAATGATCTTTGAAAAAGAAGGCAAAAAAATAAAAAGGCTGGGCGTGGTTGCTTATGCCATTAGTCCCAGCACTCAGGAGGCAGAGGCAAGCAGCCCTCTCTGAGTTCAAGGCCAGCTGGGGCTGTAGGGAGACCCTGTCTCCGAAAAAAAAAAATCAAAGACAGGAAAAAGGTAAAAGTATCATCATAGTCTCATTTCTGTACACTGTGACTTATTTAAGTCTCCAGGGGTGGTGGTGCATGCCTATAATCCCAGCACATGGGCGATAAAGGCAGGTGGATCAGGAGTTCAAGGCCAACCTCAGCTACTTAATGAGTTTGAGGCAAGCCTGGGCTACATACATGATACCCTTTCCCAAATGCAAATAACAGTAATGAAATGTGTGTATAAAATCTGTCTGCCTGTCACTCTGGAGGCTGAAGCAAGAGAGTCACATTTAAAGCCATACTGGACTATGTAGGGAGACTCAGCTCAAAAATAAAATTGGGGCTGGAGAGATGACTCAGCTCTTAAGAACACTGGCTTCTCCTGCAGAGGACCCAGGTTCGATTCCCAACACCCACATGACAGCAAGCAACCGTCCATAACTTCAGTTCCAGAGGAATCCAATGCCCCTCTTCTGACCTCCATTGGCATTGCACAACACAGATGCATTTACACACATGCAGGCAATACACGCATACACATAAAAATGAAATTTTATTTTTTTTTTTTTTTTTCGGTCTTTTTGAGACAGGGCTTCCCTGTAGCCCCAGCTGTCCTGGAACTCTTTATGTAGACCAAGCTGGCCTCAAACTCACAGAGATCCACCTGCCTCTGCCTCCCAAGTGCTGGGATTAAAGGCAGGCACCACCACACCCAGCCTCAACCAATTTTCGTTAATACGCTCCAGGTATTGGGTTTTGGTGGGTGTGAGGGACAGAGCAATTCTCTGGCTGCATTTCTGCATTTCCCACTTTAGTACAAATCAAGTATCTACTATTTTCCTGGCACGGAGAATGGAACTCACAATGTAGACCAGGCTGGCCTTGAACTCACAGAGATCACCTGACTCTGCCTCCCGAGTGCTAGGATTAAAGGCATGTGCCACCACGCCCAGCTTATTTTCATTTTTATGTGTATGCATATATTGCCTACATGTATGTAATGGACCCGTGTTATGCAATGCCCAAGAAGACAGAAGAGAGCAGTGGATCCCTTGGAACTGGAATTACGCGGACCGTTGTTAGCCACCATATGGGTGCTGGGATTCAAACCCAGGTCTTGTGCAAGAACAGTGCTCTTAACCACTGAGCCATCTCTCCAGCCCCTAAAATTTATTTTATTTTATTTTTTGGACAATCCTAACGAGTTCATTGGGCTTGCTAACAGAGCATAGGGTGGGGTTTATTTATAGAAGAGTGCCCCCCCCATTTATGGCTGCACTGGAAAGTCCACACTCAAAATATAGATCCTGTGTCTTCCCAACAGCCACACAAAATGCCAAGAGAGGTGCCTCATGGCATTCTTGGCTTATATATCCTTAGCCTCTCCCCCACATGCAGCTAAGGTCGACTGATTGGGTGGGAGGGGCACTGACTCCCCCATCAACTCCTTGGTGAGCATGGGAAGGAGGTGTGACTATAACCTCAATATCCTTGGTGTAATTTGTTCTAGGAAGAGTTGGAAGAACATTCTTGCATTCTACAGAACAGAAAGATGAAGTTCCCTTTGAGTTTGACGCTGACTCGCTTGCCTTTGACATGGGAAATGAACCTGTTTTGGCTGTGCACAAATCCACCACAGGAGTAGAATTGACCCCAGACGATGTGAAAGATGCCCACTGGTTTTTTGACACTCCTGGAATTACAAAAGAAAATTGTGTATGTATTTGGTTCTCTCAGAAACATTCACTTTTGGTGGCTAGAGAGATGGCTCAGCGGTTAAGAACACTAGTTGTTCTTGCAGAAGACCCTGGTTCAAATTCCAGCACCCACATGGCAGCTAGCAACTGTCCGTAACTTCAGTCCCAGGGGATTCAACAGCCTCTTCTGACCTCCGAGGGCATTGTACGACATGGGTGCACTTACCTACATGCAGGCAATACACGCATACACATAAAATAAAAATAACAAAATTTAGAAAACATTTACTTTTCATTGTAGAAGTACAGTCTTAACTGCAGAAACAAGGAAAGAAGTGTGCTTCCATTTTAAAATTTAGTTCTGCCAGGCGTGGTGGCACACACCTTTAATCCCAGCACTTGGGAGGCAGAGGCAGGTGAACTCTTATGAGTTCAAGGCCAGCCTGGTCTACATAGTGAGTTCCAGGACAGCGGGGGCTACAAGGAGACCCTGCCTTAAAAAAAAAATAAGGCGGGGGTTGTTCTGTTTCTTTCGTAACAGAGCCATGCCTTTAATCCCAGAGACAGAGGCAGATCTGAGTTTGAGGACAGACTGGTCTACATAGTGAGTTCTAGGCCAGCCAAGGCTACATTGTAAGACCCTGTCTCAAAAAAATAACAAATAGTTCAGGAATGAATATGTCATAAAATTCTGTATTCATTTAGTTGACATCACTGCAAGCAAACTACTGGTATTAGCATTGTGGTTATCTTAGCGAAGCATGTACAGGTTCCTGTATTTTAAGGTGAGAATAATGTTCCATGCTTGAATTCCCTTGAAAACATGTCCATCACAAGGTCATCTGGTCTGAACTGGATAAGCAGTGAGGGTTATTTGGAGCAGAGTTGTGAACTCCCAGAGTACCCAGTACATTTTTGCTCTTTGTACTACACTGAGAGCCTCCTTGAAACATATGAAGTTTGGGCAAGTGTTGTCAAGTGAGCATAATTTTAGAATAGAGTGAATTCTACCTGTCTTGCCTTTATCCATCGTTTTACTCTAATTACAGTCCATGAGTAACTTAGTTTTTACCTTATTAAATTTAGCCTAAGTTCTACTCTCCTGTGTGTGCATTAATTGTTACAACTTTGGGTTTCACTGTGTACCCTAGGATAGCCTAGAATTCACCAGTCCTTCTACCTCAGCCTCCTGAGTGCTGCAATTACAGCCATGGGCCAACAGACTGGACTTATATTTTGTTATTTTCAGTTTTGAACTTTAACCAAGTCATTGATTTACTCTAGATACACAGCCCCACAACACTTCGATTTATCGTTTCCCTGAATCTCACAACTGACCAATTCTAGGTCTCCTTAGATCTGTGCCTCCCTGTAAAACAGCAGTGGTGTCTTAGGTACTTTTCTTTCTTTTGCTTCATCAGGTTCACTTAGTTTCCTTCTCAGAAGTGTAGTCTTTTTAGTTTTCAGAATGATGGAATCATATAGAACATTCCTTTTATCATTTTACCCTTCTAGAATAAGTGTCCACCTACAGTCTTTTCCTTAGCACTCCATAACTACAGAGTAACTGGGCCTCTTTCTAATAATGTTCTGTCACTTTAACTTCACCAACCAGTGCTTCCCTTTCAGACTCATTATTTTAGTCATGCACCGTCTTATCAAAGGTCTCTAACAGACTGGAGTTAAATTTAGTTCAGTGGTAGAGTGCTTGCTTCACACTCAATATCTAGCACCAGAAAAAATGCTAGGGGAGTCTCCTGGCACAAATGGCCTCCAAGGACACAAGGCACACAACATATTATGGTGCATGTACATACAGCAGGCAAAACCCTCACATAAAAATAGAGGGAGGGAGGGAGGGAAGGAAGGAAAGTGTTCAGGAAGAAAGACACACTTGAGAACATTGTTATGGGCTTCTCAAAGAGTACCTTTATTATACAGGGTGACATAAGGCCATTTTCATACAAATACATACTTTGAACTTTATTCTTCCCCTTCCCTTCCATTTGCCCTTTTGTACCCCTAGACAGTTTTGTGTCTGTATCAACCATGTCTAGGACCCACAAATGAGCAAAATCTTGATGATTTCTGAGACTGGCTTAATTCACTTAATATGATTGTCTCCAGTTGTATCCATTTTCCTACAGATGACATGATTTCATTCTTTGTGGCTGAAAAAAATTACATTGTATGCATAAAACACGTTTTCTATATGCAATCCTCTATTGACAGACACAGGTTGGCTTACAACTTAGCTAATGTGAATAGCTCTGTACTTTTTGTTTTGTTCTTGTTTTGTTTTTTGGTCTTTTTGAAGCAGGATCTCCCTGTAGCCCCAGCTGTCCTGGAACTCACTATGTAGGCCAGGCTGGCCTTGAACTCACAGAGAGATCCACCTGCCTCTGCCTCCCAAGTGCTGGGACTACAGGCGTGCGCCACCATACCCAGCGCTTTTTTCTTTTTTTAATGAAGGTTTTTGTTGTTGATGTTTTGGTTGACTTGGTTTGGTTTGTTTTTACCTTAATTTTTTATTTTTATTTTTATTTTTATTTTTATTTTTTTTTTGGTCTTTTTGAGACAGAATCTCCCCATAGCTCCAGCTGGCCTGGAACTCACTGTGTAAACCAGGCTGGCCTGGAACTCACAGAGATTTACCTGCCTCTGCCTCCCAAGTGCTGGAACTAAAGGCATGTGCCACCACACCCAGCTTGTTTTTGCCTTAAATCTTACCAGAATCTGATAATCTCGCTTTTTCCTTATTTTTACAGTCCTTTTAAAAACTCATCCTGGGCTGGAAAGATGACTCTGCAGAAAAGAGAACTTGTTACTCTTCTAGATGGCCCAAGTTTGGTTCTCAGCACCTAAATCAAGTGGCCCACAACTCCATGTAACTCCAGGGCCAAGGGATCCAACACCCTATTTTGACCTCCTCAGGCACCCACACATGTGGCATTCACTCACACAGACATATGCACATACATGTAAAGAAAAACTTTTAAAGACTCTATTTCTGACAAGCCAGGATTCATAACATTCTCTGATTTTCTGCCAAATAGTCAGTCTACACTTGAGAAAGTTTCATCAGGGCTTGATCTACTCCTAGAGTAAAATGACCATTTTCCTTTTTTTGTTTGGTGAGGGAAGGGGGGCATTTTTTATTTTTTGTTGAGACAGCGTCTCATTGTAGCTATTAGTTGCCTGGAACCCACTATATAATCCAACCTGGCCTAGAACTTGTGGAAGTTCTCCTGCCTCAGTCTCTCAGTGCTGGGATTTATAGGTATGAGCCATTTTGCATTTGATGCTTGCATACTTAATCACTAGGACGTGAGCTCACATATTCCATTATTTTAAGCTGTAAGCTACTTCTCCCTGGATGCCTTAAGCATATATTTCCATTCCTTCTGGCTGACAGTAGTTTTGGGGTATATACCAATTTTAACATTTGGGGGGTAGTGCTGTCATAGGAAAGTCTCATATAACTATAAAGTTATTTTGCCACTAAAGACTTGACTATGAAGTGAGTAAAAAATAGAGTAAATTTAGATTAAGTTAGACAGAATATTTAAAGCAGGATATAGTGGCTTTAATCCCAGCACTTGGGAGGCAGAGGCAGGCAGATCTCTGTGAGTTCAAGGTCAACGTGGTCTAATAGTGAGTTCAGGCCAGCTGGGGCTACAGGATTCCCTGTCTCAAAAAGACAAAAAAATATGTGTGTGTGTGTGTGTGTGTGTGTGTGTGTGTGTGTGTGTGTGTAACTTTGAGTAAATCACAAAATATGTTGTAGTTCTCTAAAAGTCTGTCATTTTGCTTTACAGATTTTAAACCTTCTAACAGAAAAAGAAGTAGATGTTGTTTTGCCAACACATTCCATTATACCAAGAACTTTTGTGCTCAAACCAGGAATGGTTCTATTTTTGGGTGCTGTAGGCCGCATAGATTTCCTACAGGTAAGAAAAGCTTATGCTTTTCTTAGCATAAGGGGCCCAGTGGCTGTTAAAAGAGGACCCAGTTAATAAATATTAAAAAGGGGGAGGGGGCTGGAGAGATGGTTTAGTGGTTAAGGGTACTGACTGCTCTTGCAGAGGGTTCAATTCACAGTACCCACATGGCTGCTACAAACTGTCCTTAACTCCAGTTCCGGGGAAATCCAAAGCCTTCTGACCTCCTTAGCATTGCACGACATGGTGCACTCACATACATGTAGGCAAAACACTCATACACAAAATAAAAATAAATAAATATAAAAAATATAAAAGAAGACCCAGTTTGGTTCCTAGCAACGACATGGTGGCTAAGCTATTTGTAACTCCAAGTTCCAGGGAATCTGCCACCCTCTTCTGACCTCCACAGGTACTGCATGCATGGTTGCACTTACATACACATACAGGCAAAACATTAATACACATAAAAGTAAATAAATAGAGCTGTATCATAAGTAGGATCTTGAATCCCTTCTGTAGCTTAGCATTTAAGACAAAATACTGTTAACTATATTATTATTTCACATTGTTATAATATAACCAAACATTTTAAGTCCAAGGTTAATAATGCATTAAATTCTACCCTTTGTGTAATGTGGTACTTGTTTTTTTGTTCAAAGTTTATTTACGTAGCATTCTGGCAATCTTAAAGTGTAGTCCTCCATTTTGCGAGGGAAAATGAAACATGGATATATTCATTGCAACATTCAACTTACAGGCCATTGCTAAAGCACATTTCTTGGGTTTTGGGTTTGTTCATACTGCATTGGAAATTTAGCCTTGTATACCTACAACCTTTATACATTTTGTGAAAGCCCATAGTGTTAATATTTTAAACCTAACTTTATACAATAACAGTCAAAACAGATTTCCTTTTTGTTTTTAATAGATGTAAAACTCCCAGAACTATTCTGTTGTTCTTTATATTTTCAAAGACTTTTATTTTTTATTTATGTGTATGTGTGTGAGCCTGCATGAGTTTATAATAACATGTACATACAGATATCTGAGGAGGCCAGAAGAGGCAGAAGAGGGCATCAGATCCCCTGGAACTGGAGATACCAGAGGTTGTAAGCTGCCATGTAGGTACTGGAAAGCAAACTCAGTCCTCTGTAACAGCAGTAAGCACTCTTAACTGCTGAGACACTGTGTGGCCCAGGTTGGCCTTGAGTTTATCATCTTCCTGCTGTGATTACAGGTTTGCCATTATGCCCATCTATTTTGTTTTGTTTTCATAAAGTCAAAGTCAGTTTTACCATTTACATGAGTTGTTAGAATACATTGTTTCTGTATTGTGCCTTTTTTTTTTTTTTTTTTTTTTTTTGGTCTTTTTGGGGGGTCCCCCCCAACCCCCAGCTGGCCTGGAATTCAACCATGTAGTCCAGACTGGCCTTGAACTCACAGAAATCCACCTGCCTTTGCCTCCCGAGTGCTGGGATAAAAGGCATGCACCACCACATCTGGCCTGAATTGTACCTTTTTAAGGCAGTATAATTTGATGATAGTTAAAAGAAACTTTGATTTGGTTTCTATTTTTTTCTTTTTTCTTTTTTTTTTTCCTGTTGTTTTGAGACAGGGTCTCGTGTACCTCAGGCTGACCTTAAACTCTGTTGTAGTTGAGGCTGTCTTTGAGTTTCCTGATCTTCCTGCCTCCACCTCCCTGGTGCTGGGACCACTACACCCTGCTTTTGTTTCTTCTTTTTTTCTTTTAAATATACATGGCCATGTGCAGGCTTCCCAAGTGTTTTGTTGTATGAAATAAGTTCTTTCTTCCTTTCTTAAGGGAAATCACTCAGCTTGGTTTACAGTTGTGGCTTCCAACTTCCTCCCGGTACATATTACTTCCTTGGACAGGGCAGATGCTGTGTATCAGAAGCACGCGGGTCATGAGTTACTGCTGGTAAGCAATTCAACTTGATGCAGTGGGATGGTCCCATACCTGCTGCTATTAAAGCTTGTGTTGATTAGAACCATCTGTTTGCACATCAACTCACTCTCTTGCCTCATTTTCTTTGAGCATTCTGCCTATAAAACAAATATGGGCTCCACATGAAAAGGAATGTTCATTTGGACTAAGCCAAAAAAAGCCAGTTTTCTCTGCAGTAGACTGGCCAATGTGTTAGTCACTAGACACATACAGCTATCTACATTTAAATGCACTATTAGAATTAGATGAACAGTCACAGATGCCACCTTTCAAGTACCTGATGGACACATGACTACACAAAGTTGTCCTGGACAATGCTGGTTGAAAAAAAGCTACAGATTTTGTCATTGTTGGATGCTGCTGGCATCTGGTGTGTGTAAACCCCAGGTGATGCTAACCATCCTGCAACGGGCAGGTGAACTACTCAGCACAAAGAATGACTTAAAATGTCAGTAATGGTTAAGAAGAGCTGATCTAAGTAGAGAAGCTTCCTCACCTCATTCCTAATCCCAGAGACTCATTTTTACAAGTTTTTCCTTTTTGCCTACCCTTCTGCCTCCTTCCTTTGAGCTATAAATTTAACAACAACAAACCCTCAGGTGTCCTGATTATTCCTTCTCTTCAGAGTCCAGCCTGCTCTTGGCTCCTCATGGACCATTGCTCTCATCCCAGTTAGGCCATGCCACTCAAATTCACCAGGCCCAGTCCCCTGAAGCCTGAGGACTGTTTTGGTTCATCTACAAGATAGGCCTTACATACCACTGGATAGTGAGCATTGTATATTTGTTGAGTTTTTTGTTTGCTTGTTTTGATTTTTAAGACAGGGTAGTACAATGTTGGCCTCTAATTAGCTATATAGCTAGAGCTGGTCTGGAACTCCTGATCTTCCTGCCTCTACTTTCCTGGTGCTGGGATCACATCACAGGTTTGCATCGCCAAGCTCTCTGGATAAGATTATTGAAGCCAGACTACCTGGTTCAAATATCTGCCTGACTCCACTTAACAAAGCTATGTGACTTCAGGCAAATTTTCCCTACTGTTCTTTGTTGTACTTACCTCATGAGAAGGTGGGAAAGATTAAGTGTTGGTGCAGTGGTTTGGGGTTTGGTTTTGATATTTTCTTTATTTTTATGTGTATGAGTGTTTTGCCTGCTTGTAGATAGGTGCGCCAATGTTGTGAAATACCCATGGAGGTCAGAAGAGGGTGTCAGATCCCCTGGAATTGGAGTTACTAATGGTTGTTAGCTGCCACATGGATGCTGGGAATCGAACCCAGGATTTCTGCAAAAGCAGCCCAGTGCTCTTAACCACTGAGCCATCCCTCCAGCCCCTTGTTTTTTTGGTTGTTGTTATTTTGTTTTGTTGACTTTGAACATCTGTTGTCAGTATGCATGTGGCAGTGTGTGTCTCTCATGAATGTCATGGCATTCATGTGAAGGTCAGAACTTGTGGGAGTCAGTTCAAGCTTTCCACCATTGGGGTCCAGGGATTGAACTCAGGTCATCAGACTTGATGGCAAGCCCTTTATCTGCTAAGCCATCTCTGCTAAGCCCTGTTCTTTTTTATTATAAAAAAGTATATTTTTGCTGGGCGTGGTGGCACACGCCTTTAATCCCAGCACTCAGGAGGCAGAGGCAGGCAGATCTCTGTGAGTTCAAGGCCAGCCTGGTCTACATAATGGTTCTAGGACAGCTGGGGCTACAGAGAGACCCTGTCCCAAAAAGAGCAAAAAAAAGTATATTTTTAAACTATGGGAGTGGTGCATGGTGTGCATGTGGAGGTCAGAGGACAACTTCGTAGACTTGATTCACGTCTACCGTATGTGGGTTCCAGAAACCGAACTCGGGTTATCAGACTTGCACAGCAAGGACCTTAATGGCTGAGCCATCTGGCCAGCTAAGACAATGTTGTAAGTGCTACATGTATTTGGGTGGTAAGGATATAATACACCTGTTGCAGAAATACTAGGTGCACCCAATGGAGCAGTGATTAATATCAGTGCTCATGTAGCTGCAAACAAACCAAAAAGTTACTTAGGGGGCTGGAGAGATGGCTCAGCAGTTAAGAGCACTGACTGCTCTTACAGATAACCTGGGTTTGATTCCCAACACCCACATGGCAGCTACAAACCATCCTTAACTCCAGTTCTGGGGAATCCAAAGCCCTCTTCTGACCTGCGGCATTGCACGACATGGGTATACTCATATACATGCAGGCAATACACTCATACACATAAAAAAAAATAAAAAAAAAATATTAAAAAAAAAAAAAAAGTTACTTAGGGGTGGCTGCCCACACCTATAGTTCTAGCATTTGGGAGGTAAGAAGCAGGAGGATCTAGAGTTCAGGGTCATCCTTGACTGTTCAGTGAGTTAGGAGACCAGCCTGAGCTACAGGAAACTATCTCAAAAAATGGGGAAAAAAGGGAGCTGGAGATACCAGCTCAGTGGTTAAGAATACTTGCTGCTTTTTAGGAGGACCCAGGTTCAGTTCTCAGCACCCACATGGTAGCTTACAGTTGTCTATAATTCCAGTTCTAGGGGATCTGACGCCCTCTTCTGGCCTCCACAGGCACTGCACACACATGTATGTACAGTGGCACACTGCACACACACGTATGTACAGTGGCACACTGCCTTCCACACCCAAATAAGTCTTTTTAAAAGTTGGAATAAAGGCGGGGATATAGCTCACTGGTAGAACACATGCTTACCAGGCATAAGACCCCAGGTTCAATCCCCAATACTGAAAAATGATAATACATGTGTTTATGTATATATATGTAAACAGACACACTCCCTCAGAGCCTTTAAAGAAGATAAAAACAAACTTGAGAAATGAATACTTATTTCTCTCTAGGTTGTCTAAGAAAATAAGACTACGATTAAAACTACTGAGGGCTGAATTGTAGCTTGTGGTGAACACATGCCTGGTATATATGAGGCCTGGGGTTGGACCCCTAGGACTGAGAAAGAAAAGAAAGAATTATATATTTATATTGCTTCTTCATTTCATTGGCGGTTCCTTGACCCATCTTGGCTCAATAGTCCCTCTTCCACAGCTCTAGCACTTCCTGGTGCCTTTCATCCCATTTCTTACCTGCTCTTTGTATGTTATTTGCTCCTTTAGAGCTCCTTGAGGGTAAGACCATATTGTAATGCCTATCATTGTGTCCCTAGTGCTAAACACTAGAGAATTTCTGATAGATGCCCAAGTTACTATCAAGGTGCTTCCCATTCATGCAGAACCTGTGAACATAGAAGCTGAATCTTGTTACAAATAGATCCTTGCTGGAGAGATGGCTCAGCAGTTAAGAGTGCTGGCTGTTCTTGCAGAGGAACCAGGTTCAATTCCCAGCACCCACATGGTGGATAACCTCTGTAACTCCAATTCCAAGGGATCCGATGCCCTCTTCTGATCTCTGTGGGCATTGCACAACACAGGTGCACTTACATACATGCAAGCAATATATTCATACACATAAAATACATAAATAATTTAAAAATTATTTTTTTAAAAAGTAGATCCTTGTAAAGAGGCAGAGATTGGGCCAGGTGTGATGGTGCATGCCTTTAGTCTCAGCATTCCAGAGGCAGAGGCAGGCACATCGCTGAGTTCAAGGCCTGCCAGGGCTACATAGTGAGACCCTATCTCAAAAATAAAGTGAGTGATAGAGAATAATCTTTATAGCCACACCTAAAAGAACTAAGCTAGTCGGAAGGATCTTGCTTTAATTGCCTGACAGTGGCTGTGAAAATGGTATAAATAAAACACAGTTCTCCTGTCACCAGGTTACTGCAGCCCCATGCCCAACAAGTGGCCTTTGGCCTTAGAATCTGTAGGCTTCATCCGTTACAGAGCCCCTATGCTCAACAGTTGAATGTTTACAAGGATTTTATTTCTGTGTAGGATTATTGGCAATTTACTTAATAATGCAATTATAAGGAATTTTTTATTTGGTTGTTTGGGGTTTTGGGGGGAAGAGAGGGGGTAGGAGGGTTGTTTCTTTCAAGACAGGGTCTGATATAGCCCTGGCTGGCCTGGAACTATGTTGATCTGGTTAGACTCAAGCCCATAGAGATCTGCCTTCTCTTCCTCCCAAGTGTTAAGGTTAAAGCATGCACCACCATGCCTGTCTTAGTTTTTGAGATTGTCAAGCTAAGCATGGTGTACGTGTCTGTCTAATTCTAGCACTCTGAAAGCAAAGGAAGTAGGATCAGGATTTCGAGGCCAGTCCAGACTGCATAGTTTGAGGCTAGCCTGGGCTGTATGAGATCCTGTTTCAAAAAAGAACAAAAAGGGGAAGGGGGTCCTTACTTTGTAGCCCACACTGGCCTCAAACTCATGATGACCCTGTTGCCCCAGCCTCTTGAGGGCTGAGATTATAGTTTTAAAAGCCACCACCCCCAGCTATAATTACAGGGAATTTAATTTGAACTTCCAAACAGCTTTCTTTTTATTGAAAGGTTCCAATGGGCGGAAAAGAACGAATGGAGCAGTTTCCTCCTCTTATTGCTGAAGACATTACATTAAAAGGAGGTGGAGAGTCTATGGCAGTGGCTGACATCAAGTTCTCCTCTGCAGGTAATTTATTGTTTTATAAAGCAATCACAGCCCAGGTATGGTAGCACATCCCAAATCCTAGCACTTGGAGGGCGAGGCAGGAGCTCAAAGCCAGTTTGGTGTACGTGAAACTGTCTGAGAAAAACTGCCTTTGTACTATGAGGTATAAAAAAGAAGCCAGGCATGACAGTGCATGCCTTTTATCCCAGCACTTGGGAGGCAAGGCAGGTGGCTCTCTGTGCGTTCCAAGCCAGCCTGGTTTATGTAGCAGGTTCCAGGCCAGCTGGAGCTATAGGGGGACCTGTCTCAAAAAGACCAAAAAAAAAACTATGAAAAACAAATTAAAAACTGGGTATGGTGGTACATATACAATCCCAGCATTCAAGATGTTAAAGGAGGGTGGCGGGTTCAAGGCTAGCATGGGATATACAGTAGATCCTATCAACAACCAAAAAAAAAAAAACCTCAAAAACTGGGTAGAGCAGCTCACATCTGTAATCTCAGCATTCAGTAAGCTGAACTAGGTGTGTTGCTTCAAGTCTGAGGCCAGCTTGGACGCCACAATGAGTTCCAGGCAAGCCTGAGCTACTGAAAAAAACAAACTCAGCAAGGGCTGGGTGTGATGGCACATGCTATTGATCCCAGCACTCCAGAGGCAGAAGCAGGCTAGATCTGACTCTTCTGACTTCAGAGGACACTGGCATATATACATGTATGTAGGTACACACACACATGAAAACAAGTCTTTTTTAAGAAAAGAGAGTGGCCTTTCTGACTGAAGTATATGTTAATAGAAATCTGCCTCTTCTAAACCATGTATACTAATTTACTCATAAAATATGACTTCTGAAAATTTTATACTTTTCACAAATCTGTTACATGATTTTTTTTATCTTAATGTTTATTTAGTGTGTATATGTGTGTGAGAGAAAAACAGAGCTGGCATGCGTATGTCGTGCCATGCATGTGGAGGTCAGAGAACAACTTTTAAGAGTTAGTTCTCAACTTCTAATTTGTTAAGGCAAGATCTCTTGTTTCTAAAGCTTTGCTTCAAATTCCAAGCTAGCTGGCCCATAGGCTCCCAACCAATTTGTCTGTCACTGCCTCCTATCTCACTGTAGAAGTGCAGATGCATGCCATCATGGCTGGCCTGGAACTCACTATGTAGACCTGGCTGGACTGGCTCTCGCAGAGATCTCCCTGCCTCTGCCTCCAGAGAGCTGGGATCAAAGGTGTGCTCTGCCATGCTCTGCTGATTTTATTTTTAATTATATATATTAGTGCATGTCTGTGTGAGGATATGAGCACATGAGTGCAAGTGCCCATGGAGGTCAGAAGAGAGCATCAGATCCCCTGGACCTACAGTTACAGGCTGTTGTGAGTTGCTCGACATAGGTGCTGGGAACTGAATTTGGGTTCTGTGCAAGAGCAGAATATGCTGTTGACATAGGTTCTGGGGATTGAACTCAGGTTGTCAGGTTACTCACTGTAGCCCCAGCTGACCTGGAACTCAGAATGTAGACCAGTCTTTGATCTCACAGAGCTCTGCCTGCCTCTGCTTCCTGAGTGTTGGGATTAAAGGTATGTCCTCACACCCAGCTTTGTGGGTTTGTTTGGGGGGGGGTTGGTTTTTTTTTTTGTGTGTGTGTGTGTGTGTGTGTGTGTGTGTGTGTGTGTGTATGTGTATGTCCAGGTCTCACTCTGTATGTTCTCTTGGATGCTTTCTAGGTTGGGTTGCAGTAACACCTTATTTTAGGGACACGTTGCATCTCAGAGGTTACACACCAGAAGGAACAGTTCTGACCATCCGGCCCCCTCTCTTGCCACATATTGTTAACATCAAAGGAGAACGCATCAAGAAAAGCGTGGCCTATAAAACCAAGAAGCCTCCTTCACTGATATACAATCTACAGAAGAAGAAGAAGTAAATGTGAGGCAGACATGATTCACCTCGGATAGTAACAATACTGAACACAGAAATCGTATTAAATATAAATATAATAAAAACCATACATACCTACCAAAAGTTCTCTCTCCCCCCCTCCCTCGCCCTTGCCCTCCCTCCCTCTCCCTTTCCCTCTCTGGTCTTTTTGAGACAGTCTCCTTGTAGCCCCAGCTGACCTGGAACTTGCTTTGTAGACCAGGCTGGCCTCAAAGTCAGAGATCCACCTGCCTCTGCCTCCTAAGTGCTGGGATTAAAATTGTGCGCCACACAAAAGTTGACTTTATATATATTTTTTTTCTTTTTTGTTTTTTAATGTGTATGAGTATATTGCCTACATGTAGGTAAGCACGCCTGTGTCATACAATGCCCGCAGAGGACAGAAGAGGCCATTGGATCCCCTGGAACAGTTGTTAACTGCCATGTGGGTGCTGGGATTCGAACCTGGGTCTTCTGCAAGAACAACCAGTGTTCTTAACTAACCCCTGAGCCATCTCTCCAGCCCCAAAAGTTGGCTTTTTTTTTTAACTATTTAGGACTGTGCTTATTGATAATATGTTGATCGTATAAATACAAAGGAATTTTTTTGAGTATGTACATTTTGTTGACCAAAGTATACATAAGAGGCCCACTGCTTTCAGATTTTCACAGAAACTAGATGTCATTTCTCTTACTGGAGTACGTGGTTAACAAGGCAGCCTACCAGCTAGTGTGAACAAAATAGCCAGGAATCCTCCAGAATATATTGGCTGTGCTCCTTTCAGTCACCCAAAGATCTAGTTGGTGAAACATGCTATATTAGTTGCTTTCGTGACACTTGTCAAAACAGCCACCAGAAACAAAGGTGAAAAGATTGATTTTGGCACCTAGTTCCAGAAGTTTCCAGAGTTGCTTGGCTTCAGCAGAGCATGATGGCAAAGAGCTGATCACATCACAGAAGATCAAGAAATAAAGAGTACTGGAACCACCAGTCTGACTAGCCCCCAAAGGCCTACTCCTAGTGACCTGCTTCTGCCAGCTAATCCCTACCTGCTCAAGTTTCAAGGCCTCTCAAAATAGCACCACCAGCTGAGCAACAAGAATTCAGAACAAGGGGCTAGAGAGATGCTTCAGCTTAAAAGTATATAATACTCTTCCAGAGGAAGTTCCTAGCACCTACATCTCTGACCTCCATGTGCACCCACATGCACATACCCATACCCATGCATAATTCAGAATAACTCTAGGGGCCTGGAGAGATGGCTCAGCAATTTAGAGCACTGGACTGCCTTTGCAGAAGACCCCAGCTCAGTTCCCAACACCCTCTTCTGGCCTCTGTGGACATTGCACACAGGTGGATTTACATGCAGGGAAAACACAAAAATAAAACAATTTTTTTTCAAGATGGGTTTTCCCTGTAGCCACAGCTGGCCTGGATCTAGCAGACCAGGCTGGCCTTGATCTCAGAGATCTGCCTGCCTCTGCCACCTGAGTGCTGGGATTAAAAGCATACACCACTACACCCAGCTAAAAAATTTTTTTTAATCTTTTAAAAAATATTCCAAACAAGTGGGACACACTCAAAATGTGTGCCATAGCTTCCCTCTGCATCTTAGATGACTGCTCAAGTTGACATCCTTTCCCATTAACTGAAAAGGGGGGAAAAATGGGAGAGCAAAGGCAGCTCCCCTATTCAAAAGGGGGAAAAGGTGTTCTGCACATTATCACAGTCCAGTCGGCATCAGTGACCACACCTGTGACTGAGAAGGGACATGTAGGAAATGGGAACCGTTAACGGTTTTTGATCACAGGAGAGACTAGAAAAATAGTTAAAATTTTTACCTTACATGATTTAAAAGTGCCTAAGTCAGGCATGAGAGCTCATGTCTATAATCGCAACACTCAAGAGGCTGAGGTAGTCAGACCACTGTGGTTCAAGGCCAGCCTAGGCCACAATGAGACCCTGTCTCAAAAAGGCTGAGGATGTAGCTCAGAGTGCTTGCCTGATTTGTAGCCATTTGTTCCCTTCTCAGCAATACATAAACCAGGCATGAGCCAGGCGTGGTAGCGTACGCCTTTAATCCCAGCATTCAGGAGGCAGAGGCAGGCAGATCTCTGAGTTCCAGGACAGCTGGGGCTACAGGGAGACCCTGTCTCAAAAAAAACCAAAAAAAAAAAAAAAAAAAAAAAAAGGCATGGTACCTCACACCTGTAATCTCCACCTCAAAAATGAATAAATGGGCCTAAAAGTTAAATAAAAAGATTAAGGCTCTTTCTAGCACCTGAGGTCTGTTTTGCAACTATGATAACAGGCAAACCATTAATATTTGCCAGTATATAGCTTTTATTGCATCAGTAATTCCTGTGGGAATACCACAGGTGTGTATAATAAACATGTGACTTGCAGTAAGCCTGGGGCTAGATCCTAATGCTGAGATTTGTGCTAGGGGGATAAGCTAGGCCAACATGAACTAGTGAAATCTATATTCTCACCTGACACATTATGTATTTCACACACTCAGCCAGGCATGGGATGCATACCTGTCTCAGCCCTAGATAGGCTGAGGCAGGAGAATTAGAAGTTCCAGGATAGCTAGCCTGGTTTATACATAGCTAGAAGCTCTGATTACAAACAAAAGTTCCTTCCCCATGTAACTTCATAGATACCACTTTCATAGTTTGTTTCCTTTGGAGTTGCTGCTGCTCTGAAACAGTGTTTCATGTAACCCAGGCTGGCTGGCCTCAAACTTGTGATCCTCTTGCCTCAGCCTCTTCAGTGCTGGGATTTTTAGGCAAGCACCACCACACCTGTCTTTTCAAAATGAGTTCTACTGGCATTTTGGGGAAGGCAGTTCTTCACATGGAAAGCTAGTTTTAGAATGTCTGGCATCCCTTGTCCCAGAAACAATGACAATAGCATCTTGCCTATCAGTCACAACCAAATCTACCCCCCCAACACATTTCCAAATGCACCTCTAGGGGGGCAGTAGCTTCCCAAATTGAAGACCATGATTAGTACTTCATTTCCAGTTGTTTTTAAGTTTCACCTTTTGGTTTTCTGAGACAGGGTCACCCTGTAGCCCCAGCTAGTCTGGAACTTGCTGTGTAGATTAGGCTGGCCTTGATCTCACAGAGATCCACCTGCTTCTGCCTCCCAAGTGCTGAAATTAAAGGCATGCACCACCGTGCCCAGCTAGTCCCAGTTTTAAGTTTTGGGTTTTGGTTTGGTGAGGCATGGTTGCCCTGTTTTGCTTACAGAGATAAGTATACCACATGCATGCTTGCTTTTAACTCCTGAGCCAGTTCTCTAGCCCCAGAAGACTCCCTTTTTAAATGTTCATATTCTCAGGACTCACCTCTAAAATTCAAAGGCCATATCTAAAGGTATCCCACGGCAACTTGCATAGAGTTTTAAACAGTGCAATTCACTGTTAGCTTTCTTTTTAAAAAAATATTTTTATTTTATGTGTATGTGTGTATTGCCTGCATGTATGTAAATGCACCTCTGTCATGCAATGCCTGCGGACAGAAGAAGCCATCTGATCCCCAGAACTGGAGTTACAGTTAACTGCCATGCAGGTGCTGGGATTTGAACCCAGGTCTTCTGCAAGAACAGCCAGTATTCTTAACCTCTCTGAGCCATCTCTCCAGCCCCACTGTTAAGCTTTCCTAATTTATCTCTTTGAGCTCTTTTTTTTTTTTGGAGACAAGGTTTCCCTGTATCTCCAGCTGGCCTAAACTTGCTATGTAGACAAGGCTGGCCTTGAACTCACAGAGATCCACCTGCCTCTGCCTCCTGAGTGCTGGGACTAAAGGCGTGTGCCACCATGCCCGACTGGATCTTCATTTTCTAACCTACAAAATGAGTTTCTCTAAATTTTTCTGAAGGGTTCTTAGTTATAACCTTGGTAATTCCATATGCAAATAAGCTGGAAAGAAAACCAGCAAACTGTAGTTATACTGTGAAACAAAAACTATGCACCACACCTACACTTCCTGAGGACTCCTACTGATGGCTGCTGTTCATGTACTCCACATTCCTCCAATCTGATGCAGCCCAGGACCAGTGCCCCACAGCAGATTCTGCCATGAGAAAGTTCTATTACTGCCAGGCATGGTGATACATGCCTGTAAAACCAGTACTCAGGAGAAAATCAACTTAATGGAGGATTGCCACAAGTTCAAGGCAAGCCTGAGCTATATAGTAAGTTTTGAGCGAGCCTGGGCTAGTTTATGGATCCACCTTCATTCATCTGAATATGAGAATTTCTCATGAATCAGTAATCAAGCTATAGCAGGAAGAAGTTAGTGGGACCCTTGCTAGATTAAGTAGGAGCAATTAATGGCAGAATGCCAGGACCACACCCTCACTTTCACAGAACAAAGGGGTGGTTCTCAGTGGCTAGAAACAACTAATCAAGTTTACATTGGATTGTTTATCTAGTTCTGCAGCCCAGTTAAGCATGACACCTCTCCTGTATTAACGGCACCTAAAAAAAAAAGTCACCTTTTTTTCCTTGCATGTTCTAATTTTTTAAATATTTGTTATTATGTGTATGATTGTATTGCTTGCATGTATGTAAGTGCACCTGTGTCTTGCAGTTTCTTTGTTTTTTGAGACGGTCTCCCTATAGCCCCAGCTGGCCTGGAGCTCACTATGTAGACCAGACTAGTCTGGATTTCAGAGTGATCCACCAAAGTTGTGTGTCACCACACCCAGGTTTTCTTTTATTTTTCTTTAGACAGGGTCTCACACTATAGTGTAACCCAAGCTGACCTTGAACTCACTCTCCATGGTCCTTCCTCCTGCCTCAGCCTCAAGTGCTGGGATTACAGGAGTAAGCCACCATGCCCAGCTCAAAAGGCTTTTTGTCTCCTACTAAAAACAAAGCTGTCTCCATTAACAGCTTTATTTTGAAAAGTTAGTCTAACTTCTAGTTTTTCCCTTTGCAAAAATTAAAACCTCATCTGAGACAAAGTTGTTGTAGCATATTTTATAATTTTATTCATCCTAAATGCCAAATACTGCCCATCACTAGGACTTTACTGCGTAGTTCCCCATAGTCTAAATTTATTTTAGTTCCCCAAAGTCTAAATTTGTTTGTTATTTGCTAAACTCACTTCCCATGGCAAC